AGGTCACTTCCAACCCAAACCATTCCATGGTTCTGTGATTTGGAAGTGATGCCAGTCCCCTGGGAGCGCCCTGCCTTCCTCAGCTGGGCTGGGGAGGGCAGGGCATGGCTGGGTGGGCTGTGTCCATCTGTCCATCCTGCTGCTGCACCGTCCCACCCTCTGCTTCCCAACGTGACGGGTGGGTCGGGTTGCAAGTGATTAAATTCTTATTCTGTAGTTTACCCAAATCCTTATGGGAAGCAAGAATTCAGTGTGTCCATCTGCTCTGCTCCTTGCTCTGCTCTTACTCTTCCCTTTTTCTGTCTTTGCTGGCAGGAGAAGTAAGGAGAAAAAAAACCCCCAAAAAAACGGGAGGTGGCATGCTATGAGGAGCAAACATTATCTCCTAAAATAAAACATGGTCCCTTTTGGCAGTGAAGATGCTGTCTCGGGGGAAAGCAGCCTGAATTCCCAGAAGTGTGGCTTTTAAAGGCTCCTAGCTCCCAGCCCTGAATCTGCCTGTTCCCTCCCTCCCTCCCAGAGATTTCTGAGAAATCAGGCGTGCAGATTCCTCCTGAGAGCGAGCACTAAAGCCGGGATGGCTCCACGTCTACGAGAACATCTGGCCAATAAAGGGAGACCTAATGAAGCAGAACAGATGGTGAGAGAAAATAGCCCTGTCGCTCCTTGGGAGCAGCAGGAGCCAGGGGAGTGGGGACATTCCCAGGGTGGAATTTCCTGGGCTGAGCTTTGCTCATGGGTGCTTGAGAATGCTCCTGTAGGGAGAGCAGCAGGGTGGCAGTCCTGAAGGACAGAACAGCGTTAAAAGGAGCTGGGGGTGAGAGGTTTATCCACTGCTTTAGTTGTTGGGATGCAGCTGGATGGGAGGTGGAAGCTGAGGAAGGTGTCTAAGGTGTGGATTTCAGGTGTTGGGCTGTGCCTCGTGACTCGGTGGAGGTTGGATTGTACAGCTCTGAGGATGGTGTGGAACTGCTTCGGTCTGGTTAAACCCATGGACGGTGCAGTCTAAGGAGAGGAGATGCCACCCTGTGGCATTTGTGACTTTTGGAGATTGCCTTTGAACCTGCTTCTCCATGCTGATTCCCTCCTGCTTTCCATCCTGCTGCTCCTCTGGGGATTTTGGGGTTGCAGGGGGTGAGGTGTTGCAGCATCCAGAGTTTATTTGCTGGCTGGGGTTCCCCGTGTGGCTTTGGGACAGTGTCACCAGAAACACCAGGTCCCTGCTTGGGCAGGGCATTGCCATGTGCCATGGGTGTGTTCCTGACAGGACTGCAGGGCAGGATTGGGATCTTTGGAGTCAGCAAGCAGGAGTGGGGCTCTCCAATGAGAACTGATGCTGTCCCACCACATTTTAAAAGCAATGCATTTGCAGCACTCCTGGCTGCAGCCTGTATGTATCCAGTAAGCTCCTACCTCTCTCATCCAGGTGCATTCCCAAAGTCAGCTGGTGTTTATCCTATGCCTTTCCCAACCCTGCTCCCAGCCCTCCTCATTCTCTCAGTGTCTTTGCTGTTTGATTCCAATGAAAGGGGTCAACTGGCAGCAGCCTTCAGCATGAACATCTTGGAATGGGAGAGATCTCTGGGGGAAATCTCAGCAGAGGTGGATCCTGCCACTCCTACTTCTCTAAAAACTCTGGTGCTGCTCGTTCTGCCTCTGTACTGGTGCTCAGCTGCAACGCCAGTGTGGCAGACAGGGAGGGAAAGCACGTTCCTGCTTCAGGAGATAACAATCCCTGGGGATTTTACTTCCAGCGAGCAGTGGGGGTCCGAGGGGGTTTGGCTTGTCCTGCAGGGATGCTGCCCTGCTCTGCTCGCTGGCCTTCAGGGGCTGTGTCCCCAGCTCGGGCCATGTGCTGGGAACTGTCCTGGGGCTGGGACGTGGCTTGGCAAGCTGGGGACACAAAAGCCACTTTGCTCACATGCTGCATCCCAGCTCCATGTCCTCCGTCCTCTCCTCTGCCCTTCTTCTTTGCACTCGCAGGGGGAAGGTGATCTTCTGCCTTAAGCATTCTTATTTCTTTTTTAATTTGCGTTTTTATTCCAGAAGGCAATCAGATTGTTTTGTCTCCTTGGAAAGAGGGGCTGGGGCTCCTGGGGGAAGAGTGGGAAATCCCTACAGTACCTCTGCAGCAGTCACGGCTGGGCTCAGTGGCTGTCACCTCATCAGACCTTGCCTCCTTTACATGACCCCATCCCAAACTCTGCACCTTGGGGCCAGTGTCCCCTGCTGCCACCGTGGGCTAAACCGGTGTGTCACCATCCCTGGGGGCTTTGATCCCAGGAAAAGGAGAGGGAAGGGACGCAACACGGGAAGCTCCCCGATGCTGACACCCCAGCCCTGTTCCCGGTGGGAGCCAAAGGCTGCCCTGGCCCGGGCACAGCCCTGGCACAAGGGGCAAGAGGCACGGCCCCTGCCTGGCACGGTGCCCTGCGGCCTGCAGACCCTCAAGCTCTGTAAACCAAATTGCAAACTCTTCACTCCAGAGGAGGAATTGGGCATCCTGGTAGAACTTGCCATGACCTCTCCATCCCGTAGGTCCTCGTGGCCAAGGATCGGCGCTTGGAAGGGGCCCGGAGTGGAAATGCCAAAGTTCCCCCCGGGCCCCGCTGCCGCCTTCCTCTCCCCTCCCCGCTGTGTTGGTCTAAATGATCTTTCTATGAAGCCCTGTAGATGTCAAAAGTAATTATGGAGTGTGATTAGTCCTCTGTGGGTGCTTTCTTTCTTTCCCCCTCCTTTCTCTTTTGCTATCCCCTTCTCCACTCTTCTGTTCTGGCTCAGTGGAAAAGGTGAGGACAAAGAATTGCCGCTTGCTTGGACTCATGATGTATCTGTGACTGCGCTATTAGCTGTCTCCTCCTTCCTCCCCAAATGGATATAATTTTTGAAGTGTGGAATTCCCTTCTTGATAAGTAGGTTTAAAAAAAAAATACTGCACAATGTGATACTGTTTCATAGTTTCTAGGTGGTTGTATACAGCAAAGTTACTGTGATTGTGTTTTTTCAAAGGAAAAAGTGATTGGTTACGAAATCTGTCCTTTTTTCATTATTACAAGCTCTTTGTTTTCCAATGATCTGATGGCTCTTTTGTCCCTGGTCTGTGTGTGTGTCTTCCCAAGTCCCACCCCTGTGCTGCATCCACCCATGGAGCGTTGGCTCCTGCTGCTCTTGCTCTCTTGGGAGCTGTGGGATGTTGCTGGTGGCTGGAGGTGGAGGACATCTGTGTCCTGGGAGGAGGTGGAGGTGCTTGGAGGAGGGAGATGTCTGAGGAGGGGTTGGAGGGGCTCACTGAAGCAGCCCAGGTTTCCCCCAGCACCAGCCCAGCTCACACCCAACATGCCAGGGGCTGGTGCTGGGGGAAACCTCCTGCCCAGACTGTGCTGTGCTGGCCAAAGGCTCGTGGTGCTTTTGGGAGCCTTTGGTTGCCTCTCTCCGGCCGATCTCCAGTGCAAGGTGGTGTCCTGCCAGCACAGTGTGTGACCAGAGGCTGAGCAGCCCAGCCCTGGGTTGTTTGGGGTCTGTGCTTTTATTTTGCTCTTTAAATCTCTTCATTGCCTCTTGCAATCAATCTCCCTCCAGAAGAGAGCCCAGAGCCTTGAAATCACTCTAAGCCTGTTGCTGCTCACAGCAGCCACTTCCCAGAGGTTTAATCCCAGCCACGGCTCCCTGCTGGCATTCCTGGCTGGTGGCAGGAGCCTGGCTGGTGGCAAGAGCCCTCCTGCTGCCCTTGCTTTGGCACCTCACCCCAGCTCCATGGGGACGTCTCCCAGGCGTGTGTCACCTCCAGAGCCCAGGCAAAGGAGCCAGGATCCCGTTCTGGAATGGCCTGCAGGTAAGGATGGGTCCTGGTGTCCCAGGGGAGGTTGGACCCCAGTGCTGGGGGACAGGGTGAGGGTGGTTCCTCTGCCCTGGGCTCTTCCACGCAGAGCCCTCCGCTGGCCCTTCCTGCCTGGAAGCAGCCAAGGGAAGGTGCTCGTTCTGTCCCCCATGGAGTCACCCCGTTGTCAGCCCCCGTGGGGAAGGAAGCCCTTGGGCTCAGGTTTGGCTCTGAGGACGGCCCCATGGCCACCGGGGTGGCCGGGGACATTTTAAGAAGATAAAAGTGATTTCTTGCTGCTCGTGCTGGCAGGGGCCGGTGCGGCCAGAGCCAGGAGGATTAAAACAATTTCATAATCCTGGTGATTTCCTTTTGATCGGGATTATGAAACCAATCACGAATATCAAAAGCCACAGCTTAAAGCGGCAGCCGGAGCGGGGCCGGGACGCCCTGGGCCCCCTCAGACCCCCGGTGCCCCCAGGGACGGCAGCCCTGGCACCTCCAGGTAAGCGCTGCCCACCCGGGACCCTCGTCCGGCTTGGGGGGGCCTCGGGGGGCAGGATGGGGGTGTTGGTGTGCGGTGGGCAGGCACGTGTGGCATGCCGGCTTTGGAGGCAGGGATGTGTATGGATGCACCCAGATCGGCTCCCACCGCCCTCCTGCCTGGAAATGCCACGGCCCTGGCTCGCCGTGGGTCCGAGCAGGATTTGGCCTCTGGAAAGCAGGAGAATTTAGCAGAGCTGCAAACGTGTGATGCTCGCAGGAAGGTGCCGAGAGCCGGCGGGCTCTGCGGCTGCAGAAATGCCCCCGCCGCGGGAGCGCAGCCCCCCGGCACCCGGGCAGGGCCCGGACAAAGGACATTCCTGAGGGAGGCCGGGGCAGGATCGCTCCGTCCCGGGCCGCTGGGCTCCCCTCCTGGGGAGTTCCCGGGCTGTTCTCCTGTCCCCAGCGTGGCGGTGGCCGGGCCCTGCGGGGACCGAGCGGTCCCGGGCCGGCTTTGGCCGGGTGCACGGAGAGAAGGAGGAGGAGGAGGAGGAGGAGGAGGAGGCGGCCTGGGCGGGAGGCAGGGCCAGCCACGGCCCCACAGCCCAGCCAAGCGGAGGGGCTGGGATTTGCTGGTTTGGCCGTTTTTTTTTTTTAATTTCTTTTTTTCCCTCCCCTGCTTCCTTCCCTTCTTCCGCTTTCTTCTCCTTCTTCCCAGCCCTCTCCCGATGCTGCTCCGGGGGTAAGGACAGCCCTCGCATCCCGCCCGTGGCCCCGTCCCGCTCAGCCTGGGCCAGTGAGGGGCTGCTGGGCGGCGATGGGGCCCGGGGGTGCCACGGGGATGCTCCTGCAGCCCCGGCCACGGGGGAGGCTCCTCCAGGGCTGCCAGCGGGGACAGGATGGGACGGGATGCTCGCGGCGGGGTGCAGGAGGGCAGCGGCTCCTCGGTGCCACCGGGGCGGGCGCAGGACGAGTGCCACGTGTGGCCCCGGGGGCCGGGGCGGAGCGGGGGCTGGGTCTGCCCGGTGCCACCTTCGGCGAGTTGTCGCCGGGAGGGATTTGTGTTCCGCGGAGGTTTGGGGCCCTGCTTTAGCTCAGGAAGTGTCAATTCCCTCCGGGCCTTCTCGCTGGGTGCCCCAGGGCACCGGGAACAGTGCGGGGGGCACTCGCGCTGCTGCCCAGCCCCTGGCCGCCCGTTTTGGGGAATCAGCGATCCCTCATTGCTGCCCCATTCCTCCTGCTCCCTAGTGATGCTGGCATGGTGTCGGTGCTCCGGGTGGATGGGTGGCCTCGTGCTGTGTCACCTCGCTGTCCCCTTCCTCTCCAGGCACACGCCGGTGGCATTGCGTGCTTTTACCCCCCAGGGCAGGTGGGGCGATGCCCTTTGTGGGTGGGTGGGCTCTGGGGAGGGCATGGGCAGCGCGGGGGTCATTCGCTGGGTTTTATCCCTGCAGGAATCATGGAGGGGAGCCCTCCCGCTGAGGCACGGCGCCTGCCGCGGCCCCCCAGGCAGCACCCCCAGAGCGGCCGGAGCCCAGCCCCGCTGGAGCGCCCCGAGGCCGCCCGCGGCCCCCACGCCGTCCTGGAGGGCAAGGTGAAGGCGCTGAAGGAGAAGCGGGGCGGGCGGCCGGGGCCCCCCGCGGCCGCCCCCGAGCGCCCCTCGCCCAAGAAGGCGCGGCCCCGGCGGGGGAAGCCGGGGGCGGAGGGGGCGGCGGCGGAGCCGCGGGCGCAGCTCCGCACCTACCTGACGGACGGGCTGCTGGACGGGGGGCGGCCCCAGCCCGCCCCGGCACCCCGCGCCGCCACCCCCGGGCTCTGGAGGGTCCCGGCACCCAGGGGAGATGTGCCGCGGGGCCCCGAGCTCCCCCCGGACGAGGGCAGCAGGTCCTGGCACTGTGCCTCCCTCCATGAGAGACCCTCCCTGGATGAAGAGGCCCGGAGCCCGCTGCGGGAGCGGGGCCGTCCCTCTGTGCCCGCGGCCGAGAGCTGGGAGAGGCTCTCGCTGGCTGAGCGGGTGGAGAGGAACCGGCGGCTGCTGCAGGAGGTGCTGGGCCTTGCCGCTCCCGGTGGGTATTTTGGGAAGGTGGTGGCTCGCTTAGGACAGCTGGGCGAAGTGGGAGGGAAAACCTTTGGGATGAGGCCAGCCTGCAGCCTCCCACGCTGCAGGTGCAGCTCCCTGCTGCCTCACAGCCCAGGGCTGCCCCATCCCCTGCACCGGGGTGTAGGAGGTGCCCACGGGATGCTCTGGGTGATACCTGTCAGTCCCCTCTGGTGTCCTGGTGAGGAATTTTACTGCTGAAGCAAGAGCAAGAAAATTTTGGGGACACACCAGGTCTGTGGGCATCACTGTGCTTTGCAAGCTGCCACCAGAAAAGAGAATAAAGTTTCCTTTGATAGCATCTGCCCCAATGACCCCATGCCCCCATCCCCACGGTCCCACACATACAGCCAGGTGCTGTTGCTCCACATTCCACTCCTTTGGAATCTCCCAGAGCCAAATGTCTGGGTGAGCCCTGTGGAGGGTGTTGGGATGGGATATATGGGGGCTGCTATCAAGAGGATGGGGGCTGCCATCCAACCAGGCTAATGCCTTGTCCTGTCCTGCATTTCAGAGATGCCAGCGAGCGATGGGGACTGGGACTCGGGGGTTTCACTGCAGGACGCTGAGGGCTGCAGGTAGGTCAGTCCCAGCGTGGCAGAAATGGACATTTCCCTCTTTCCCACTCCCAAGTCTTGTATTTTAAATGCACCTTTGGAAGCAGCTCCCAGGAAGGGCTGTGGGGCAGCTGGTGAGGGAGTGTGGCTGGGCCCCAGCCATGCTTCCGTGGGACGAGGGACAGGAGCTGGTGTCTGAGCTCAGGACATCCCTGCCAGGATGCCAGGGCAGGAAGGGAACTGGGCAAGAGGATGGGACAGAAGTTTGCTCCAGGTGCTTAAGAGGATCGAGGCGGCAGGAGTGTGTAATCTTGTTGGGCTAATGAAAAACCTTAGAGGTACGGGCTAAAAATAAGGAGGTGGCAGAGGCAGGTGAGAGGCTGGGGGCTGCAAAGGGCAGAACAGTGAGTGGGGAAACACCTCCCCAGTATTGTGGTCACTGCCTCTGCTCTGCTCTGGCAGCTGGATCAGTGATGGGGGTGCAAGGCAGAGCCAGGGATGCAGCACCTCCTGTGAGCAGGGCAGCCAAAGCCTGGGGGAGGCCTGGGCTGCTGGGGGGCAGCGTGTGCCCACCGTGCTGCACTGAAGAGGTTAAGGCCAGGCTTCCCGAGGAGACTGCCTGAGCTGATTATTTTAATCAGGAGGATTAGGGCCATGGCCAACCAGGAAGGCAGTGGTGCAGCAGGGAGAGCTGTCAGGTCCCTCACCCTGCAGTCAGAGGGGGCTGGGGGTGCGGGAAAGACCCCCTGCAAGGAAGGCAAGGCAATCAGGTCAGGGGGCCACCCCAAACCTCCGTGCCTCCCCACCACCGCGGGATTTACACTGGCAGGGATGGGAAGCGGTGCCTGCCCGCGTTTCCCTGTCCACGGCACAAAGCACTGGCTCGGCTGAGCCTGTGCCCGAGCTGTGGGGGTGCTCAGCCTGCCCCAGAGTCTCACCTGGCACCGGGGCTGCGGGGTACCCACCCGGCCATCCCCGGCACGGCCAGCCCGCCCATGAGTGGCGGCCAAGCCCCGTTTTCCCTGGGCAGAGCAGCCTCGTCGTCACTGTTAAAGCACGTCTAATCCCTGTTATTTTTTCCTAATCCCCCTGGCCGCTGCGGGGCCGCAGGGCCGTGGTGGCCGGGCAGGAGCTGGAGCTGAGCCCGCGGCACGAGCAGGCCAAGCAGCTGCTGCAGCGCGCCCGCATGAAGGCTCGCACGAACCCGCTGCGCGCCAGCCACGACATCCTGCTCCTCCCCGCCGCCGTCCCGCAGCCCAGGTCAGTGCCCCACGGTGCTCCCAGGCCCGCAGCCGGGTTTGGGGCACATCCACACGGTGTTCGGAGCGGGCACACGCGTGCAGGCATGCGTGCGGAGCCGGGATCCGACCCGCCGCCTCGTACCCTGGGTGTGCCCGACCTCTTTCCCAGTGTTTGGGACACATTTCGTTAATTGTGGTTTATGATCACACGGAAGTATCGATGGTGGGAGGGTGGCGTTTCCCAGCTGATGGGGAATGTTTTCCCGGGCGAGACTCGCTGCTGGAGGCTGGACCACAGCGGCGTCTCGCCGGGTCATGTGCGATGTGGTGTTCCTGGAATGATTAACCACACACCTCGGGCAGGGAAGGGGCGATGGAGGTCGAGCCGTGGCAGCCGGGAGGTGCCGCAGCCTCTCCGGGTTTCAGCTCCAGGCTGGAGGGAAGCAGGGCTGTGCACAGGACTTTCCTCCTTGCCCCGTCTTTTGCGCTGGGTTTTCCCCCTCCCGCCCTGCTTTCCCGGGGTTGCCGAGCAGCCCCCGCAGCTCGCCTGCAAGGCGTCCGTCTGTCTGTCCCCATGGCAGGGAGCCCAGCGGGAGGCCGAGCGTCGCCCCGCGGGACGGCGGGAGCCTGAGCGACTCGTCCAGCGGGGAGTCGAGCTGCGGGCGGCCGCGGCGGCCGCGGGGACCGTCCCCGTCCCGCGTCCGCTTCGAGGACGAGTCGGCCCGGGACGCCGAGGTGCGGTACCTGGAGCGGCTGCAGCTGCGGCACCGGCGGGCGCTGGGCTCGGCCATCGCCTCGCCGGAGCCGGCCGGCAGCAGGCAGCCGGGGGACGGCGCTGGCCAGCCCAAAGCCCGCAGTGGCGACCTCGTGGCCGGGGGCAAGTGCAGCGCCTGCGGCTCCTTCCTCGGTGCTGCCGCCGGCCGGGGCACGGACACGCAAGCTGTCCCCGAGCTGGCCAAAAGTAGCCCTGCGGCACAAAGAAGCGTTCCAGGGGATAGCAGAGGGCCGGGCGCTGCCCAGACAGAGCCTAAAATCAGGCCTCTGGGCCCCGGAGGGTCCCCGCTGTGGATCCTGCCCTCCCGGCAGCGCATCCACACCGAGAAGATCAAGGAGACCTACATTGGAGATGTCACCTACATCGACGAGGTGGACTCGGCCCTGGAGAGCACCGACACCTCCGACGGCTGCCGGACGGACAGCGAGGAGGCAGGACCCCGCAGCCCCCACCTGCGGGGGCACCGGGACCCCCGCACTCGCGGGCACAGAACTGCCCGCGCTGCCCCGCAGCCTGAGGCCAGGGCCAGGAAGGGAACGTGTGTGCCCAGCGGGGGCCCCGAGCACGGGGACTCGGGTCCGGGGCCTGTTTGCCCCCCACCACCGGGAAGAACCAGGAGCCGGGAAGATGGGGAACCCCATCAACATCTGGGGGGCAGCAAGGGAGTGGGGAACACAGCTGGCCCCCCGCAGCAGCCCAGTGAGCCTCTGGAGCCTTCCTCGCAGCTGAGGAGCAGCACTCCCATCCCAGGCACCCACGTCCCTGCTCCCCCTCATACCAAGAAGGCCTGCGCCCAGGTGCCTTGCAGGAAAGCCCTGTTCTCCATCAGCACCCGCCAGGCGCCGAGCCAAGGAGTCCGGGGCCCGGAGCCGGATGCTGGCAGCGCAGCCCCACCGCAGCCCGGGGGCACGGCGGGGCCGGCCGAGCGGCGGAGTCCCTGCAGCCCCCGGTGGCTCCCGGGGAGCCCCCTCCGTGCCTTGTCCACCAACAACTGCAACAACACCCACGGGCAGGACGCCCCGGGGGCGGGCAGAGGTAAGAGACCCACGCATGGAGTGCTGGGGGGGTTCCCAATGAAACAGGCGTGTGACTGTCTCACTGTGGTTGCAGGGACACTGTCACACCCCGCTGGCAGCCCTGTCACCGCCGTGCCCCCGGAGGCTGCTCATCCTGCCGGGGAAGGTGCCGGGATGTCGGGAGCGCAGCCGCAGCGGCACCCGGCCGGGAGCGCGGCACACGGGTGAGCGAGCATGGGCAGCCACGGCATCCCAAACCGTACAGCCCTGAGCTCCCTCCTGGGCACTGCGGGGTGCTGCTGGGCTCAGCTCCCTGGCTCCAAGAACCTCACAGAAACCACAGTGTGGGGGTTGCAATGTGCCCGTGTGTTGCTGTGGGCTTGGGGGAGCTGCGTTTCGCCACGTCTGGTTCTGCCGGGGATGTTAGAGCAGAGGTGTTTCCCTGGTGTCAGGTGGGGAAAATCAGCCGCCTTGGGGCTTTCCAAGTGCGATCCTGCCAGCCCTGTGCCTGGCGCTGCATCTCTCAGCCTGGCAGGAGAGTTCCAAGGTGGTGCTGGGTCCTCTGAGCCCGTGGGCAGGGTGTGATCCCTTGTGGCAGAGCGGGGGACTTCTGAGATGTGTTAAACCCCTGAAATAGTGGAGAAAACAGGGAGGGAGCCTTTCAGGTCACTTCGGGTAGTGACAAACTTGTGTGCTGGGGCACTGCTGCGGGGAAGAGGCTGTCCCCGATCTCCCCGTGCACCCCGATCTCACCGTGCGCCCCCATCTCACCGTGCTGCAGCTCTCAAGGCTGCCAAGGCGGGTGCAGGATGCGCCCCCAGCCCAGAGGCAGCTGCAGATCCTGCTGCCCCTCGGTGTGTGACCGCCACGCCTCTCCACCCAGGGAGCCGGGGCGGCCAGTGAGCCGCAAGGGCAGCGGCGCTTCGGCCTCGGGGCTGAAGAAGCTCCTGTGCAGCCTGAGCCAGAGCACCAAGCAGCGCCTGGGCCGCTTCCGCTGCTACAGCATGGAGCAGCTCCCGGCCCCCGGCGGCTCCCCGCAGGGCAGCCCCGGTGTCAAGAAGTCACCGTCCCTGCAGTCCCTGCAGCTGGTGAGCTTGGACATCGCCCCATGCGGGGAGACTGGGGTGGCACAAGGGAAAGGATGCTGGGCTGGAATGAAGTGTTCCTGAGTATGGATTTGTGGCTCAGGCGGTCCTGGAGGGTGCGTGGGGGGATGCGCCACTCCAAACCTGCTGCGTTTGAAAAGTCCAGAGCCAACTGGGAAGTGGAAGGGGGAAGGAGGGAGAGAGGGGTAGTAGTGGAAGAGTGGATATGCTCATCCCCCCTCAGCAGTGAGTTGGGGAATGCTCCAGGGGGATGGGATGTTCCAGTTCCTCCACTCCCTACTCCCTCACTCCATCAGTGGGTGAAGCACTGCGGTGCTGCACAGTGTTTGTCCCCATCTCAGCCAGATGTTTCTCCCCAGGTGTCACCCTTCTGCCAGCCACAAAAAGCTGCTTCTATCCAGAGCCTGCATCCCCAGCTGGGGAAGGCACCTCGTGCCAGTGCCTACCTCCTGCCCCAGACCACGGCTGACAGGTAGGATGTGGGCTAGCACATCCCTGCGGTGCCCAGGACGCTGTTCTGGGCTGCTGTGGTGGCTCAGTGCCGCCAGGGGCTGCATCACCCGGTGTCCAGCACTTCCCTTGTCCCCACTCACCCACCTTCCCTCTCCCCACAGGAAGGGGGGCTCAGGGCCGCAGCGCTCGCTGAGCGTGGAAGACATCGGGGCGCCCGGCCAGCTGCGCGCGGTGGGGCGCGTGGTCGAGGTCTTCCCCGATGGCACCAGCCAGCTGGAGCTGCAGCGACCCCCCCACGGTGCCTTCGGCTTCTCCGTCACCTCCGGACACGGCCGGCCTGACACAGGTATTGCGGGATCATCCCAAAGCTCCGGCACACTGTGATCTCTCCACGGTGGCTCTCATCCCACCCCAGGGATGAGCTTGGGCACGGGTGCAGGGGGTTGCTCCATTGCTGCAGAAGTGATGCAGGAGGGGGGACACTGCCACGTGTGGCTTTGGCCACGCACAGTCCTGTGTGTCCATCAGCGCTCGGCTTGGGACACGCAGCCCCCGCCAAAGGCTGTTTGTCACAGGTTTGTTTCTGGGCGCTCCGGGGCAGGAAGGGCTCTCACCCATCCCCGTTCCCTCTGCAGGTGTCTACGTGCAGGAGATGGCGGATGCTGGCACGGCCAAGCTCTACGCGGGGCTCCTGGGCGTGGGGGACGAGATCCTGCAGGTCAACGGCGCGGCCGTCTCGGGGCTGGGGCTGGCCCACATCCGCCAGCTGCTGCTGCAGGCTGACAGCCTGGCCCTGCGCGTGCTCCGGCACCGCCCGGCACCGCGCTAGCCTGGCACGGCTCCTGCCGAGCCGGCAAGAGGAGGAGGATGTCCCAGTGATGGGAGAAGGAAGATGGCCCAGTGATGTCCCAGGATGCTGCAGAATGGCATGGCACGGACCAAGCTGCCTCGCAGTGCCAGGACCTGCCTGGCTCCACTGCAGTGGGGGAAGGTGGCTTTCCTTGTGCCCCTGGGAGAGTGTGCGACCAAGGACCCCCCAGAGTCTCCAGGAGCTGCCCAGGTGTGAGGGACACGGGACAGCCTGGCCCCAACAGAGCTGGGTGGGTCTGTCCTGCTGGGCACTGAGGTGACCAGCATGGGGACACCCCATCTCCGTGACCTCAGGAGACAGAGGGCTTCCTGCCAGCACTGCCACCTTGTGCTGGAGGGCTGGTGAGGTTCTTTTAAATTATTTCAAACTGAAACCCAAAAATACATCTCTGCAATAACAAATCAGTGCCCTTGGCTTGTGACATGGAGGGGTTGGGGTGGTGCTTGTGGCCGTGGGGCCTTTGCTACTTGTTTCCCCATGGCCCTGCTGCTCCACCAGCCACCTCCTGACCATGCTGTGGTGCTGCGGGGGCCCTGGGCAGGTAGGCAGGGGGGCTCAGCCACCTGCAGGGCTCCTTGGGGATTTTGAGGGGTTCTTTTTTCCAGCCATGGAAGGCAAAACACGTCCTTGGAGTGTTTCCGGCAGCAATGGCTGCCCTCTGCACAGTGTTGCCCCACATCTGGGCACAGCTGCCCACAATGCTGAGGTGACCCCAGAAACTGCAGATGCTGCTTATGCCTCAAAAACCAGGATGGTGATGCCTGGCAAATGCTGGTGGGAGAGCTTTTCCCACTCCCTGATGCCAGGAGACCCTGAGCTTGTCCCGGGAGCAAGAGTCAGGCAAGGAGGAGTGGAGATCTACGCTGCTGCACCTTTATTTAGTGTTAAAGGGAAGGGCACCACCAGCGACAGAAAAGCAAATGTACACGAGGAAAGGGACCAGAGACACTTGGGTGGCTTGTGGTGATGTCAGCAGCTGGGCCACCCCCTGGACTACCAAAGGAGCGCTCCTACATGGGAGTCATTCCCGAAGGATGCACAAACACGCTGGAAGTAACAAGGGGATCAGAGGTGTGCAAACAGCAGCCAGCAGCGAGCCCTGCTCCCTGCCCAGACCCGTGCTGCTGGGAACCTGCTCCTGGAGAGGTACAGACCCACGGAGTGGCACAGACACTGCTACGGCCAGCCTTGGAAAGCAGACACCGCCTATGCCCTGCAGGGATGCTCTGCAAGGATAAGGAGCCACTCGACTCGTGAGTGCGGGTGGGCGCCGAGGCACCACGTGTGCGTTACTGACGGGCGGGCGGGGGGGCTCCGTCCGGCCCCGCCCGGCTGCGGAAGGCACCGAGCCGGCGGCTGTGCGTGCAGCGCCCGCGGCAGGGACAGGGGGGCCACGCTGAGCTCGGAGGGAGCCACGAAGCCGGTGGGGGGAGGAGTGTTCAGTTCCGGAGGTAAAGCCGTGCGGTGGCAAGATTCTAAGGCGGGGGATTTTGGGGGTGATTTGCAATTTCAGCAGAAGTCTTTGCGTCAGTGCCAATTAACTTCCTCCCCCAGCCCCATCTGGGAGCCATAAGCCAGGCTGTGCTGAGTCTTTTCATGTTTGCAACTTAAAATATGGGAGCAGATTGGAGTAAGAAACCGTTTTTGCTTTCCTCAAGAGTCACCCCCTAGCCCACAACTGGTGCTTGCAGCACGGTTCCTCTTCCTGTTCCTTTGCAGTGATACTGCCCAGGTGAGCTTTTTTCACCCCAGTTTTGGTACTGCCCACCTGGCTACTCCACATTCCCTGTAGGGAATCCAACACTGCTGAGACAACTGGAGTGACAAACAACTGGGAGGTGACAAAAGGACTGGGAAGGAATATGGAAACATGATCTAGCTTTGAATCTCCTGCCTTTTGGTTGCTTACAACGGAGGTGTCCAAAAAATAGCGGTTGGGAAAAATTAAGACATCCTATTTACAAGTTCATGTACACTTAAAATACATCACTGAGCACTGTTCCTCTGATCATGTGTGTCGTGCACCCGCAGAGAGAACGTGGCCCTAATGGTCATCAAAAAATCTTTAAAGTTTTTTTTTCCTTAAAAAAAATAAGTTATTTTAGACTTGGCAAATCACTTGCCAAAGGGAAGCAGCTGTTAAACAGAAGCAGTGACTCAGTTATACAAGGGCAAAGAAAGCATCAGTCAATGAGCTTTAGAGGCCTGTATAATGAGGGAGGCAAGTTTAAAAGCTTCAAGACTCTCCCTCTCTGGCTCACAGCTGATTGCCAGCGCTCGGTGTGCAGCACCCCAGGTTTGAAGCTCTGGGGTGTCTGACGGGGCCTGGGTGGCCGATGGCAGGACATGAGACCCTACAGCTCTGCCCTCTGCCCAGGGAGAGGGCAGGAAAGCTCTGGCAGGACTCACCGTGCTCTCGGCAGTGAATTGGTGCTACAGAGCCCGCCCACAGGAGGCAGGGAGGGGCACGGGGAGCAGGGCCAGGGCTCCCCTCCCTTGCTGCGGCTTGGGGGGTTTCACCCAGTAATGCCTGAGGCTGGCACTGGCAATGCAGTTTGTAATGCTCAGTGAATTCAGTAAGTCCTCCCCCAATCCCATCCTCCCCAGGGCTCGCTGCTCTGTGTCCATCTCTCACCGGCTCCTACCTGCACCGGGTGGAAGCGCAGGGGTCAGGTTCCCCTCCAGCTCCATGGATCCAGACCCGGAGCCCAGGTCCAGACTGCACCGCAGCAGGGGAGGAGGCAGCTCCAGCGCTCCACCCCCTCTCCCCGGGGCCAGGGGAGATGCCAGTGCAGTCCTTGGAGGAGGATGGTGAGAGCTGGGTGCGGGTGTTCCTGCCGGGGATCTCTGTGGGCGGACGGAAATGGGGAGAATTTCATTTCCCCGCGCTGCCGGGGCGAGGGGCGGGGAGGGGGCGTCCCAGGAAGTTCCGTTTTTGTCATCACAGGACAAAAAACAGGATGAGCACCACTAGCAAGATGACGAAGAGGACAACAATTGCACACCACTGCCGTCGATCTGGAAAGAAAAGGAAGCATCAGTCTTCCTGCTTTAGTGGAGAAAGAAAATTTGGTCCTGCTAGGAACCAAATTCAAGCTTAAGCTACAAAAAGCCAAAACAACAGTTCCTGTGGGAGAAAAGCTGTGGCGCTGAATATTGCAGTGAGGCAATATTAATTCTCCTGCATTCTCCTCCAGGATACACTGGGGTTTGGGAACAGCTGTGGGAATTGTGAGGCTTCTTCCCAACCAAGTTCAAACAGCTTTGAAAAGCTGGCTCAAAAGCAATTGGGAGAACAAGCAGAGAGCTGCTGTGTTTGCTGTTCATTCATGGAGTAATCTGTTTGCCAGAGGAACAAGAAGGGATCCAGTGAAAGCTGCCCTGAGGAGCTCTGCCAGGAAGAGATTGTGGCGGCTTCCCTTAGGACAGGGCCAGGAATCAGGTTTCCCTGGGCATCTCTACACCTCATTGGCTCAACACCACATCCCCTCTGAGAGCTGCTGTCTGCCCCATGAGATGATGGTGCAGCAGTGGGGACAGGGCTGCTGGCACCCCCTCAACTCCTAGACACAGTAGCTACCCCAGAAAGAGCCCTCCCAGTCTCCCTGGCATAGGTGATACCAACAGAAATTCCAGCTCTTTCACAACACTCAGAAACACTCTGCAGAGACCCACGGGTTTTCCCAGAGGAAAGGGCAGAGACACAGGGTTCACCTGTGTTTGTGCTGCTGCAGAGTACTGCTGACCCAAAGTGCACCATCAGCACTCCAAGTGGTCTCTCTAGGGCTGTATTCCCACTACCTCATAAATCCCTCAGACAGCCTAATCCTGCAGAGCAGGAATGCTTTTCCTCCTGACAGGCTGCTGCTTTCCCAAGGTCCTGAGCACCCAGGGGAGAGGGGCGCTGGAGGAGGCGCTGCCTGGGCACGGTGCCAGGCTCAGAGGCAGCGGCAGCGTGGGACTTCCCGGCAGCCAGGCCGGGCTTCCTGTTTGCTCTGCCCGCGGCGCCCCGCCGGCCCCCCGGCTTCAGGCACAGCCTTATAAGGACTTTTCTGTGGGTTCAGCACAGAATTCAGCTCTTTCCTCTACCAGCTGAGTGAGATGGGAATGACAACAGCCTGCAGGCACCCGCAGCCCCAGGGCAGGTGGGATTTGGGAAGGGGATTGCTGCAGGCATTCTAGTACGGGAGAAGCCACACACGTGGCCGGTGTTTAATGGCACCTTGACAGCTTTTGTTCCACAGGCAGCCCGGGAAACTGCAGCAGAGCAGGAGGCTGCAGAGCTTCCCCTCCCACCAGCTAGAGGGGGATTTTCCCAGCAGCAGCAGCATAAATAGAAAGGCACCTGTAAATAAAACAAAGGGAGGGGACAGGCAGCAGAGCAGTGTCTGGGCAGGAGCAGCTGCTGGGCTTGGAAACCTTCCCCTTCTTTCAAGAACTGAGAGCTGCTCCCTCCCCTTGGCTGGCTGGGTAGGAGCACAGTGTCCCAGCCTGAAGATCCAAGGGCTTGTCTCTCCCTTCCCAGGACTGGATCCCACTTCCCAGGACCTACCACTCGTCATGTGAGACACTTTGGCGAGCTTCTTCATGACGTTATCAAGGCGCGACTGAGTGCTGTCCAACTCGTGGGAGAAGTCATCCAGCATCCTGAGGACACAGAAGCAGGGCACTGGTCAGCACGTGGCACATCCCTTGGGGATTTTGCACCACGCTCACACACGTGGATCAAAACACTGATGTGAGCAGAGTATCACACCCTGGCAGACAAAATGAATGTGGCCTCCTCTCCTGGAAGCACCCACGGGAGGGGAAAAAACCTGCTGAAACAGCAGCTCTGCTTTGGTGGGAAGTAACTCGGGATTCCTGCCAGACTGATCCTCCCTGGATGTTTGTGGCTGAACTCTACACACATCTGCAAGGTGAGGAGTGGGGGAGGGGCTTCCTCCTTGCAAAAGGAAAGTCTCATTTATAATCTGTGATTAGCATCTACGTGTCAGCTTGGACTTTAAATCCCTTTTCTCGTTCAGGGCTTGCAGTTTAAACTAAAATCTTGTTTCAGTCAGGTATCAAGTGGGAACGAGATCTGCAGTTGCTTTTAAGGTGCTTTTCAAGCTCTGCATGGAAGTTACCCTTTTACTTCCTTCACACAGTGACTGTAATGAATCTGAAAGCCTTCCTGAATCCATGCTTTGTCAATGCCAGTGCGCATCCAGAGTCAAGGTACTAATCCAATTGTCTCCAGCCAGTGGGACTTTAAAGCTTAATGCATTTAAAAGGACAGACTCCTTCATTTGGAGTGCCAGGGCACTTGTTAAACCTTCATTCAGTGGGGAAAACCTCACTGTGGTAGTTAAGAGCTAATGGTGCAAGCATTGATGGCTTGTGTGATGATCTAGAAACAGACACACCACACCAATCTCCACTGTGAGAGCAGAGGATTCTCATGCTGCACAACTTCACACACAGCAGGGAGGCTGGAAGTTCCTCCTCTCCATCCAAGATGATATCACTCCATAAGGGACACGGCCCTCCAGACTCCTACCAGCCAAACAAGGAGGGGTTTTAGGCATGAACCCTTCAAGCCTTTCTGGTAGCATAGCTGTTAGCCTGCACAACTGGGAACTTGTTTGCAAAGGACAAGAACTGGGAAAGAAATCTAATTTATATGTAAATGGATGGATGCAGAATGACTTGGTGAGCTGCCCTTTAACCCTTTGCGTGGGTGAGGGTTATTTTTAACTTCAGTGATGAAGAGCAGCTCTGTGCTGTGTGTTTCAGGGCACAGCTGAGAGCTCCTGGCCCCAGCAGCTGTCTAGGGGCAGCACAAAACCCTGCAGAGTGGAGAAGTGGCCAGCATCTGCACTGCACAGGACCTCCCTCCCTTATCTGCTGGCTGCATGAGGGGGAGCATGTGAAAAGGAGAGGAGGAAAGGTAAGGTGGCAGCTAGGCCTGCCCTAGATGCAGGCTTCTAAAGGAAGGAGGTTGCCATTGGGTCCTTGCAGACTGCAGTACAAAATGCTTCCCACAGGCTGGCAGGGAGAGGCTGCCTGAGGGACCAGTGAACTCCAGGCTGTACCAGAGGCAGAGACAGGTGTGTGATGACATCCAGCCGTGTTACAGCCAGCCCCGTGCCAGGTTTTTGCCCCCATGTCTCACACTTACACTGCTTGCTCTTCCAGCTCCCCGCCAATGCGCTGGGACATGTTCTTCAGCACCCCGATGCTGCCAGAGACCAGCTCCAACTGCTCATCCTGCTGCTCCACAATCAGCTGGGGACAAACAGAAGAGAAGTGGGCAATTACAGATCTGCTGCCTGCAGCTGGCTTGGAGCCAGCCCATCCACTGGACAGGCACTTGCTGCTCAGCCAACATCAGCTGTGAGACCTGGGCTCAGACTTAAGCCACCAGGAATGAGGACTGCATTCCTAAGAAATGCTGGAGAGGAGACAATCAGGGAAAGACTCCATGGCATGGCATCCCCATGGCACAGCAGGCTGCAGCCTCCAGACATCCCTGCAAATCCAGCCTCAGCTCATCCATGCTGCATGCACAGCTAAAGTGACTTTGGAAAGCTCCAAGGGCTGGTCATCAAAACCTTGGCAAGGTGAGCAGGCCAGGGAGGCACACTGATGCTGTGTCTGGGAAATGCCACCTGGAATGTGCCACAGCTAACACGGGGTTAATGCAAGCAGAAGGCTGTTGCAGCTTCTACAGCTAAAAATAGCCAGCCTGGCTCTGAATGTGCCAAAGGAATAAGTCTGCTGCTGTTTTAAGTCATTTTCAGGGCACAGTCACGCTAAGGATTAGCTTTACCCTAGTTACCTATTTCTGAAGCTATTTATCCCCCTGGAGTCAGTAGGTAAAACGTGCCTGGAAGCTGATGTGGCATCATGGGCCAGGAGCTTCAGCAGAGTTTGCCACCTCCGAGTCACTGCCTGTGTCAAAGCCCTGCAGTTCTCCAGGCTGTGCCTGGCCTGGGCACTTCTCCAGGCAAACTCCCCTGTCAGCTGGGAAGTGCCTCACCACGGGTTCTCCCAAGGCCTCACACAGCCTTTCTCACTAATCTCACGGTGACAAAAGCAGGAAAAGGAAGCAGGCGCGTGCTCCTGCTCCCAGCCTGTTCTGATGGGAGATGCACACAAACAACACCAAACATTTTTTAACCAGGGGAAGTTCCATAAGACAAATGGGCCCTTTTCTTCTTGCAGTGTTCCTGCTCTTCCAAGGATTTCAACAATCCTTGCACTATTAAATCCTAGTGTGCTACATCTTCCAGATTGTGCCAACTGCCTCCTAAACGTAGCAGAAGCCCCACACCTCCAGGGTTAAAAACTTGTGCCGAGATCACCCAAAGCTGTGCTGCACAGGAAATGCAGGCACAGACACATGCCACAAGCAAAGAGGAGGACTGTCAGTCTCCTGGAGCCAGACCAGCCCCCCTGGCACCCATCTGGGAAGCAAAGCTATTTAGTCTGTGATGCCAGCTGCCTTACCTGTTGTTGAGCTTGCTGCTCCTCGATGAAATGTGAATTTGCTAATTGCAGCTCCCGGTCCAGACGGCTGTATTTGTCAGGTCCAGAGCTCCAACTCTGACTCCCACTCTCTCCCAGGAGTGCCTGAACAGATGCAGAGAGCTCTTAGCAACACTCTTGTGTCTGCTCACAGCCCGTCTACAGGGTGAGGTGGGAAGGCAGACAAGGCAACACTCGTGTACACACGCACACAGCATCCTTTTCCTCCTGCTCTGCTGCTACTCAGCCAAAGTGCTGTCATGAACTAGACCAACACAGAGCCAAAATGCAGCCTGGGAAGTCTCTGCAGCCTGGAATTGCAGAGATGCCTCTCCAGCAGCAGGAGAGCTGGAGTGTGGCCGACTGGCAGTGTGTGCAGGAGGCCTGCACAGCACAAAGGACTGGCGGAGGCCTGCTCAAGAGGCAGCACTGTGTGCTAGGACATGTGAGCTGGGAAGTGTCTGGGTATATTGTGTTAACAGATGTACAGCTCCATCTGAGCACTGTGCTGCTAATGACAGGGGTTTAAGAGGGTCTGGATAAAGTACTTAACCAGTTGAGCTGACAGTAAAATAATGCAATATATAACCAGAGCAGTGCTGTATGCTTATGTTCTATGATCCAGGCTGCCTATCTCTCCAGCAGGCTCTTCAGCTGCCAGCACACAAAGTTATTCTTGCTACCTGCCTGCAACCTGAACAGATAAGCTCATGCAAAGCCTGCAGAGATGTGCTTTCCAGCCAAATATGTCTGAAAAGGGAATAACCCAAGCTACAGATGCTGGAGAATGAACATGACCTGCAAGTGAGGAACTGCACCCTGCAGCACTAGGGAAGGGTTAGGGACTCTGCCTTCCAGTGTGGAAGCCAGGCTGACCTGTAATGAGACCATCCTGCAGCTCCTGGTTGTGGGCAGGATGAGCATTTGTGAAGAACAGCAAGACAATGACCAGGCTGCTCTGTCAGGCTGAAAACCAGACGGTGTCTATGGTTCATCTGACTTATAAGGTTCAGAGGGCTGAGGAAAGCCGACAGACTGACCATGCAGGAAGCCAGCAGGACATCTGGCTTTTTCTGCCACCAAGACACTGAGCAAGCTCCTGGTCCCTCCAGTTTGTGGCAAGGGCAACTCCTTTTTATTTAATGCAGTGCTCTAGCTTTGCCTGCAGCTTCAATAGAAAAGGCCTGTTTGCCAGCCTGGGCTGTGAGGGTCAGGTCACTGCCAGCCAACCCCTCAGACACAAAGCCCAGCACAAGCTTTGCAGTCTGGAATGAAGGTGAGGGGCTGGGAAGGGAGAGGAAGGCAGCAAGGGGAAGTCGGTTTTCCTGACCAGATGTCGCTGTGTGAGCTGGGCCATATGGTCTCCTGCAGCTCTCAGGAACCTCATGCAAAGGAAAGCAGCAAATAGCAGGGAAAGCTGCAGACTTGTTTGAGCAAGGGTGTCAGGGACTTTGTTGCTGGGAGTGTTTGCCAAGCACGTCAATTAACCCTGTGACAAGCTCAGGAATGAGTTCTGTGCTTCCCGGTTTGTTGTTTTTGCCACGTGTGGTAAGGCTGATGCAGTACAGACAATTAACTGTATGAAGCACACACCAGCTTTTACTGGAGTGGGTCTGGAAGTCAGCTGCAGTATCTCCTTACAGCCTCTCCATCAGCCAGGAAGCAGCACAAGCTGCATCTATTTCTATTCCTTAGATTACAAGTGCAGACAACACCAGACTCCTGGAGCTCCTTCCATCTTCTTACATGGCTATTACGAGAAGCAGCTGCATGAAAGGATATTGCACCATCTTGGCTCCTAAATCCAGCAGAGTGCAGGATTACATTCATTGACATGGATTCTGAGCTGCTTCCCCCCGAGGAGGAGGAGGAGGGAGATTTCCCTTTACATGGGATGGTGCAATGCTGACAGTTGTAAACAACCAGCTCTGAAGACAGAGACAGATGGTGAGTGCTGACTTACTGCTCTGAGAGAGGCTTGGGAGAGGCTGGCAGCCTGTGAGAACCAGCTCTCTCAGGGCAGCCAAATGGACACAGCTCAAACACAGCTTGACTGCAGCGTGGGAGCCCCCTCCCACACCCAAGGTTTGTAAGGGGATGGACTCCAGACAGGGTAGACATTGTAGCAGAAATACATTGCCCGTTTCTGGTTCTCACCTGCCTGTTTTTTCTTTCAGCCAGTGCTTGCATGGATGAGTTTGACATCTGATCCTTCATGTCCTGTTCATTCAACAAAAGAAGGAGCATGTGAGCATTGGATTTGAGATGACAAGCAAATTCAGGGTGCTACAGGGCTGTTTATACCCAGCAAAGCTTCTACAAGGGGGAAAGACGGAAGGGAGATTTTCTTTGAAAACCCACACTTTTCAAGAGTCTGGAAACATACTCTAGAAATTTTCATTGTTATACTAATACTGGAATCAACAGCATTGGGGTATTTTGAAAATATTCCTCATTTGCTACTCCTTTTTCTCCACTACAACCAGAACCACGTTGATTTGTATAATAAAAGAATGTTCCTGTTGACAGAATGTAAGGAAGTGTTTGTCAAGGTCTTGAAGCCTATAACCTCCTGTGCTTTATTCCCAACTGCATCTGGTTTTATATTCCATAGAAGGTAGATTTCCTGTCCTGTGGCCATCCCCTCTGACTGTGTCAGTGTTCTCTCCTACCAATTAATTTTTGCTGTGGAGTTCCTGCAGAAGGTCACTAACCACAGAAGGCTCCCCATCACAATGTAACATAACCTGGTTTTCATAAATTAGCGAGCAGTCAACATCATCTGGCAGATCCACCAGCAGAGTTCTGATGCCACCAGAGGATCCAGATGTGTTTTACTGTTCAGAGATGTGCAACACATCACTGGAGAGCACCATCACATCACAGCTGGTTAACCCTCACTGTCTGCATCACAAATTTCCCCCAAGGAAACTGGAAGCCAGCTCCACAGGGCCACTTACAAATTTCATTTCCCAGCAGGAGACACTGCTCCAAAAGCCATTACCCAGCATTTTTCAGCCAGGAGAAGAGGACCAGAGAGCAGGCTTGCCTGATCCTGCCCATTAGGGAGCGGACTACACTGAGGACAAGGCAGCAAGCATATGCCTGCTACCTGGGGGCAGTGTGGTTTTGGGATCAGTTCCCAGGCAGCAAGCCTTAGGAACTGCATCCAGACCACAGGACTGCAGGTGGGGTAACAGGCTTGCTGCCAGCCAGTGCATTTTGTGAAGCAGGAACATCAGAGTCGTGAGGGGCAGCAGAAACTCAGTGTAGCTATTAATAGACAGAAAGTTCCTAACTAGCAGCTTGTTACCAGGCAGTGAAGCTTTTGGAAAAATGTTTCTTCTCTATTTGTTACCACCAAGTTGTTACAATCCCCTTTTTGCTTCTCAAGCGTAAGTTTAAACTAAAAAAAAAAAAAATCTTCCTCAAGTTATAAATAAATCCAGTGGTTGTTTGGACTATGTTGCAGGGGTAGGAAGTTGAAGTCACCATGTCAATAACAACAGGCTTTAACCATCTGTCAGTGCTCAAAGTGGTCTCCCTGTTGCTGAAAACCAGTGC